GGAATAATTCAATTTTTCTATTTCACGATTATCCCACTTTTCAATTTTACATGAGTTTTCAATGATCCGATTTCTCGATTTTTCGATTTTTCACTTTTGATGTTCGGTTTTTCCATTTTTCAATTTGTGGATTTTTTGCTTTTCGGTTTTTCATTTTCGAGATTTCCGATCTTAGAATTATTAGATTTTTCGGTTTTATCAGAATTTATTTTAAGCAGTTTTTAATTTTCTAGTCTTCCGGTTTTTCAATTATTCGGTTTTTCAGTTTTTAGTTAATCGAATTTTCGTTTTTTCCATTATTCAGTTTTTGATTTTTCATAATTTCAGTTATAGGATTTTCAGTTTTTCGAATTACGATTTTTCAATTTTCAATTTTTTTATTTTTCAGTCATTTGATTTTTCGATTTTCCAGATTTCGTTTTTCAAATTTTTAGTTTTAGAATTTGAAATTTCTCAATTTTCCAGTTTTTCGTTTATGCAATTTTTCGACTTTTCAATTTTAGAATTTTGTAATTTTTCGATTTTTATATTTTTAAAGTTTTCATTTTTCAACTTTGGATTCACAATTTTTTATTTTTCGATTTCGAACTTTCCACTTTTTAACTTTTCAGCCTTCAATATTTCAATAGTTTTCTATTTTTTAATATTTAAATTCTTAATTTTTCAGTTTTTAATTTTTTAAATTTTAATTTTTAAATTTTAATTTCTCAAATTTGAAATATTCAAATTTTAAGTTTTCAAATTTCCAACTCCTATTTTCAAATTTTACTTTTTCGGTTTTTAATTATTATTAATCATTAGATTCTTTGATTTTTAATTTTAAAGATTTATCAGTTTTTCAAAAAAGTTTTCAATATTTGAATATTTCAATTTTCGATTTTTCAAGTTTTCAGGTTTACACATTTCTATTATACCATTTTTAAAATTTTCCGATTTCTCAGGTATAACTTTTCAATTTTTCAATTTCTGGATTTCCGAATTATTAATTTTTCAGTTTTTCGATTTTTGTTTAATTTTCAATGCTTCGATTTACAATTTTTCTTTTTTAAAAATGCTTCTTTTGTTTTATTTTGCGATTTATAGCTTTTACAGTTATCCTATTTTTCATTTTTACACTATTTCGGTTTTGGAATGATTCGATATTTTATTTTCTAGAGTTCTTAACTATACTTTTCAATTTTTCGATATATCAATTTTTTATTTTTCGATTTTAGACTGTTCTTTTTTAATTTTTCAACTTTAGTTTTTTAATTTTTCAATTTTTCTATTTTCACTTTTTCATTTTTTAATTGTTAGATTTAAATTTTCAGATTTTGAATTTTGAAATTTTAAATTTTCCGATTTTGAATTTCGAAGTTTTCAAATTGTAAATTTTCAACTCTTATATTTTCAATTTCTACTTTTCAGTTTTTAATTATTGTCAATTATTAGATTCTTCGATTGTTAATTTTAGTGATTTATCAGTTTTTCAAAAATGTGTTCGATAATTCAGTTTTCCAGTTTTCAATTTTTCAGGTTTACAATTTTCTATTATTCCATTTGTACAATTTTCCGATTTCTCAGTTATAATTTTTCAATATTTCAATTTCTCGGTTTCTGGATTTTTCACTACGATTTTCCATTTTGGTTTTTTAAAATTTTTAATTTTTTCGATTTTGCGATATATCGCCTTTACAGTTATCCTATTTTTCACTTTTATACTATTTCGGTTTTAGAATGATTCAATATTTCAATTTCTATTTTAATTTAAAAAAAATCAAAATTGTACGACTGAATATTGAAAAATTTGAAGATTTTATAAAATGGAAAAATCGAATAATTATCGAATCGAAGAAATGAAACAATAAAGAAAAATACAATCTAGGAGCTGAGAATTAACAAAAAATGGGAAATTTGACAAATGTAAAATCCAGAAAAAGAAGAATCGAAAAATTGAAAAATCATATATAAAAAGAAATTCAAAAATTGTACTAAGAATTGTAAATTCCTAAAAACTGAAAACTTAAAAAATCGAAAAATCGGAACATCGATAAATCCAAAAATCAAAGAATCGTAAAATCGAATAATTGAAAGAGCAATTGAAAAATCGAAAATCTGGGAAATTTCAAAATCAAAAATTGAAAACAAATTGAGGTTTCGAAGTCCTAAAAATCGGAATTGTAGAATTGAATAGCTGCAAAATAAAAAATTTGAAAATCCTGAAACTGATGAAAACTTGAAAAATCGAAGCTAAAGATCGAAATATTGTAAAATTGTGAAATCCTAAAAATTGGAAACTTGAAAAATCGAAAAACTGGAAAATCGAAGAAAATCGAAAATTCAGGAAATTGAAAAATTGGGATATCGTGTATTTATAAAATCGGATAATTGAAAACTCAAAAATTGAAAACTTGAGATGTAATATTAAGAATCAAAATTGGACGATTGAAAAACTGCAAAATTCAAAATTTGAAAATCTCGAAACTGATGAAAACTTGAAAAATCGATAAATTTAAAAATCGAAGAATTGAAAAATCGAATACATACTTAGAAGAGTAAAAATCGAAAAATATAAAAATTGTAAAGCAGAAAAATCGGGAAATTCAAACATTAGATACTGAAAAATTAAAAATCGAGTACTGGAAGAGTCAAAAGTGGAAAAAAAATCAAAATTGCACAATTGAAAACTGAAAAATTTCAAGATTAAAGAATGGGATAATTCTAACTTCGAAAAATTTTATAAAATTGAAAAATCGGATAATTATCAATTCGAACTATCGAAACATTAAAAAATTAAAATCTAGGATTTTGGAAGTAACAGAAAAATAAAAAAAAGAAAAATCGAAAAATCGAAGAATCATATTTAAAAAATAAATTGAAAAAATTGTAAAATTGTGAATTCCTAAAAATTTAAAACTTGAAAAATCGATAAATCCAAAAATCGAATAATTGAAAGATCACTTAAAATTCAAAATTCAAAAATTCAAAAATTGAAATATCGAATACTTGAAAAATCGGAATTGTTCAATTGAAAAACCGAAAAATCCAAAATTTAAAAATTCGAAATTTATGAAAACTTGAAAAATCGAAAAATTTCACAAACCAGAAATTGAAAAGTTGAAAATCGAAAACTCAGGAAATTTAAAAATTATTGAAAAATTGGAATATCGAGTCTTTATACAATCGGATAACTGAAAACTCAAAAATTGAAAAGTTGATATTTCCCAATATTAAAAATCGAAATTGTACAATCGAAAAACTGCAAAATCCAAAATTTTGACATTCCTGAAACTGAAAAATCGAAGCTAAATTCGGACTTTTGAATAAAATGGAAAATTGAAAAATTGAAAAACCATATACAAAAAATAAATTGAAAGATTGTAAAATTGTGAAATTCTAAAAACTGAAAACTTGAAAAATCGAAAAACTGGAAAATCGATAATACCAAAAACCGAAGAATCAAAATTTCGAAGAATTGAACGAGCAATGAAAAATCGAAAATTCAGGAGATTTAAAAACCATTGAAAAATCAAAAAATCGAAGAATCGGAAGACTCAAAAATCAAAAATTGAAAAATTGCAATATTGAGTCTTTATACAATCGGTTAATCGAAAATTCGAAAATTAAAAAGTTGAGATTTCAGAATATTAAAAATCGAAATTGTACAATTGAAAAATTGCAAAATCCAAAATTTGAAAATCCTGAAAAGTGATGAAAACTTGACAAATCTAAACTGAAAATCGAAATATTGAAACAATGAAAAATTGGCAAATCGATAAATTCCAAAATCGAAAAATCGAATACTTGGAAAACTAGAAATTGAAAAATCTAGAAATTCTAAAGTCGAAAACTCAAGAAATACAAACATCAAATATTGAAAAATCGAGTAGAAAAAACAAAATGAAAAATTGGAAATTCGAAATTTAAACAAAATCAAAATTTTACAATTGAAAATAAAAAAAATTGAAGATTAAAAAATGCCATAATTCAAACTTCGAAAAATGTTATAAAATGGAAAAATCAGGTAATTATCGAATCGGAGAATCGAGATATTAAAAAAAAAATAAAATCGAAGAGTTGAGAAGTAACCAAATTGAAAAATGCAAAATCCAGAGAAAAAAAAAATGGAAAATTGAAAAATTGAAAAATTACATATGAAAATGCAATCGAAAAATTGTAAAATTCGAAAAACTGAAAATTTGAAAAATCGAAAAATGGGAAAATCGATAAATCCAAAAATCAAAAATTGAAAAATTGGAATATCGAGTCTTTACGAGTATACAATCGGATAATTGAAAACTGAAAAATTGAAAAGTGTATATTTCGGAATAATAAAAATCGAAATTTTACAATTGAAAAAATACAAAATCCAAAATTTGAAAATCCAGAAAGTGATGAAAACTGAAATCGATAAATTCAAAAATTGAAGAATCCAAAAATACAATACTTAAAAACTAGAAATTGAAAAACTGTAAAATTTTGAAACTGAAAATTTGAAAAAACGAAAACTGAAAGATGAAAATACCAAAAGACTGAAAAGCTGTCAACCTAGGGTTTTCAAAATTAAAATATTGAATAATTGAAAAATAACCGAAAAATCTAAAAACGAAACACCTAAAAAACGACAAATCGAGAAAATGAGTAACCGCGTCAAAAGTCAAAGAATTGAAATAACGGAAAATGTAAAACTAAGAAATCGAAAGGTTGAGAAATAATAAAATTAAAAAAATGTGAAGTTGATAGTCGATAAAATAATAATCATAAAAAATTGTAAAACCGAATAATAATCGAAAAATTTAAAAATTAAATGTCAAAAAATTTCAAAATTGTGGAATAAAAAATTTAAATTTAAAATTTAGCATATTAACTGAAGTGGGACAACTGAACAAACTGTAAATTATTTTTCAAGGCTATTACCAGAAATCGGTAATCACGTTTCGCCGACTTAGCGTAGTGAAATTTCGCCGACCAAGCCCACTCAAATTTACCAGTGATTCTCAACACATTGTGCAATGTTTCAGGTTCTGCTGGGCGGCGGACGCAGACACTGGCTGCCGAAGGTTGCCCACGATCCGGAGCAAACAAAAGACGAAGGCCGGCGCCTCGACGGTCGCAATCTCATCGATGACTGGGCCAGAGATAAGAAAAAGCGTGGACTCAAAGCAGAATACGTCTGGAATAAAGGACAGCTTGATAAAATTAACCCCAATCAAGTCGACTACTTGCTGGGTAAGTTGGGAGTGGTCCTCTTCGGGTTTTGTCATCTCGTGATGAAGTAGGATAATGACGTTCTGGCTTTGTGGAGCGTCTTTACCGCACGAGAGGGAATTTAGTTTTTCCGATAAGCTCGTATTCGGAAAAATGCCTCCGAACTATACGCAGGAAATGCCACTGCTTCGGCTTTGTGTAAACAGTGAGGCTTTTTATTATCGATATTATTTTAGCTCGGGGTCTTTGCGAAAGGAGCAGTCATAGATTCGGCTTTATGAGGTCGTTATGTTCTAAGTTTACAGTTTTAGATGTGTGTTTACATATTGAAAGTTTTACTGAGTGCAGGCGTCAGCTCGTTAAATTTTGCATTCATGCAGCTTGCATAACGATCTTGTTGCTTACAGTTCCGGCATCTCTGACAACTAATTGACTGTATAATTAGCGAAGGATGGAGTGGACCAATCAGGCGACGAATCAACACACACTACAGCGAAAAGCGACGGAACTGCTGAATTATTAACGAAATCTTTTCGTGAAAATGTAGCGAAACATTTGTGAAATTTGTTAAGAAAATTCCGCTGAAAATTCTCCGTTTTAATACTCATTCCAAAACAAACAACCTCTTCAGATATGTATGGAGCGTCACGCGTTGCTGAAGGATCCTTTTAAATTTTGTAAATAAATTTTGATGCTAAAATAACTCCACGGAGCTTAGATACTTCTTGTCGCTCGTGGCGATGTAATAATGGAATTATACGAAAAAATGTTTTGACGATGGAGGCGCACTCGATAGAGTAATTTTCCGTTAAGCGGGAGAGTACAATAACTACCAAAAGAATGCGTCAACTACTCGACTCGAGAGGGTGGAGTGTCCGGAATATTGTAGCTATGAAAACAAACATGCTTTTGTGTTTACGATGGGGTGTTTTAAATTTGATATTGTTTGTCGAGGCTGTGGGAGTGGTTAACTGGTTGTAGGCATGTTAGACAGCTTTGCAAAAAAGCGTCAACAGGTTCATGAAGAGCTTAATAGCCGGAAAATTTGAAACCAACGTTTGTACGTTTTAGTGAGAAGAGTGAAGCATTTTCTTTGTGCTCGAGTTTAAAAATCTAGTAAACAAGTGACTTATTTATTATTTATAAATGGAATAACAATTTATTCAGCTGCAAAATTCCCCACCTTTTCACTTTAGAACTAAATTCACTTTATATATATATATTTAAAGTTGTAGTTTACGATTCATTTGAATAAGAATTGACGACGCTTTTAGAACTGTGAATAAATTATGAATAGGAACGATGAAGCGAAAAACAAAAGATCTTCTAAAATGTTACCCACAAGTTGGCCAACAACACATCGTAAATTGTACATAGAAGTAAGTAACTACGAAGAACACGAGACTAGGTTGTGAACAACTCCAATTAAACTACAAAAACAAAGAAAAAATGAAACAAGTGAAGGCATTTTCTGTATTTTCTCCCTTATCCTTTCTCGTTATTTATATTTGATTACCTCAAAATTTAATTGTAGAACTCCCCTCGCCACTGCAGAGCAGATAATAAAACACGATCATTTAAAAGAAAAGAATTATTAGTCTGCAAGATTTTTCACATTCTCAAAAAAAAACGACACTTGGAACTTCTAAAATTGTTATTATTTATACTATTTCAAAAGTGGTACATAAGATTTTTTCATATTTAAAACAAGGACATCAAGGTCTCCAAACATACTTTTACCCTCTTTAGGAAAAACTGTCGGGGTCAAAAAAAGACACCTGGGGCTTGCAAAATTTTTCATATTAAAAAAAAACACAAACAAAAAAATCAGGGTTCCTCAGACACTTTCATATTTTCAGAAAAAGTCACGAGTTATAAGTCCCCAAAATTCCTTCACATTCTCTTAAGAAAAGACACTAGGAGTCTTCAAGAGTGTTTCACATTCTTAATAAAGAATAAAGGGAGCCCAAAATTGAAATGTTGAACGATTGAAAAATTGAGAAATCCGTAAAATTTTTAAAATGGAAAAACCGAGGTGTCAAGAAATTTTGAAATCGGGAAATCCGACTACTATCAAAAAATCGTTAAATCGAAAAATTGAAAATTGAAAAAACGAAAAATTTAAGAAATCGAAATCAGAAGAACGAGAAATCAGAAACTCTAAAAATTAAATATCGAATCTGAAAAATTGAAAAATCGAATAATTGAAAAATTGAAACATTAAAAAGTTGAAATTTAGTCCAAAAGAAAAATTAAAAATTGAAACGTGTAAAAAATTTAAAACTTAAAAAAACCATAAATAATAAAATAGAAAAGATGAAGATAAATTGAGAAATTGAAAAATTGAAAAATTCAGAAATCGAAACACCAAAAACTCGAAGAATTGAAATTCCTAAAAATTTAAACTGTGAAAAATCTAACACCGAGACGGCGAAAAATCGAAAAACCGACTAACTTAAAAATTGAGAAATTTTGAAAAATTGAGAAACCGCAAAAACTAAAAAAAAAATCGAGAAATTAAAATATCTAAAAATTGAAGAATCTAGAAATTTAAAAACCTCATTATCTTCTTTCGTCCTTATTCCTCCTTTTTCGTCCTTTTTCGTCCTTTTCCGTCTTTTTTCGTCCCTATTACCCATTTTCGTCCTTATTATCCTTTTCGTCCTTTTACGTTATTTTTCGTCTTTTTTTGTCCTTTTCGTCCTTTTTTGTCCTTTTCCGTCTGTTCGCGTCATTTTTCGTCCTTTTTTGTCGTTTTCGTCCTTTTTTGTCGTTTTCGTCCTTTTTTGTCCTTATTGTCCTTTTTCTACCTTTTTCGTTCATTTCGTCCTTTCTCGTCATTTTTCATCTCTTTCGTCCTTTTTCGTCCTTTTTTTGTCCTTATTATCTCTTTCGTCCTTATTCGTCCTTTTTCGTCGTTATCATCCTTTATCGTTCTTATTATCCTTTTTCGTCCCTTTTCGTCCTTTTTCGTCCTTTATCGTCCTGTAGCGTCATTTTTCGTCATTTTTCATCTTTATTCGTCCTTTATCGTCCTTTATCGCAAATGTTCGCCCTTTTTCGTCCTTTTTCGTTCCTATTATCCTTTTTCGTCTTTATTCGTTATTTTTCGTCCTTGTTCGTCCTTACTCGTTCTTTTTCGTCCTTGTACGTTATTTTTCGTCTGTTTTCGTCCTTTTCGTCCTTTTTTGTCCTTTTTGGTCCTTTCGCGTAATTTTTCGTCCTTTTTTGTCCTTATTGTCCTTTTTCGCCCTTTTCCGTTCATTTCGTCCTTATTATCCTTTTTCGTCCCTTCTCGTCATTTTTCATCTTTTTCGTCCTTATTCGTCCTTTTTCGTCGTTATCATCCTTTTTCGTTCTTATTATGCTTTTTCGTCCCTTTTCGTCCTTTTTCGTCCTTTATCGTAATCTTTCGTCCTTTTTCGTCCTTTATCGTAATCTTTCGTCCTTTTTCGTCCTTGTTCGTCCTTTTCGTCCTTTCTCCTTCTTTTTCGTCCTTCTCGTCCTTTTTCGACCTTATTATCCTTTTTCGTCCTTTATCGTAATTTTTCATCTTTTTCGTCCTTTTTCGTCCTTTTTTTGTCCTTAATATCTTTTTCGTCCTTATTTGTCCTTTTTCGGCCTTATCATCCTTTTTCGTTCTTATTATCCTTTTTCGTCCATTTTCGTCCTTTTTCGTCCTTCATCGTAATTTTTCGTCCTTTTTTCGTCCTTATTCGTCCTTTTCGTTCTTTCTCCTCCTTTTTCGTTTTTCTCGTCCTTTTTCGTCCTTATTATCCTTTTTCGTCCTTTATTATAGTTTTTCGTCCTTTTTCGTCCTTTTTTGTCCTTTTTCGTCCTTTCCGTCTTTTTTCGTCCTTTTTCGTCTTACTCGTCCCTTTTCGTCCTTATTATCCTTTTTCGTCTTTCTTCTTCAGTTTCCTTCCTTTTTCGTTCTTATTATCCTTATTCCCCCTTTTTCTTCCTTTGTCGTTCTTCTTCGCCCTTTTTAGTCTTTTTCCGTTATTTTTCGTCCTTCTTTGTCCTTTTTGTCCTTTTTCGTCCTGTTTCGTCCTTTTTCATCCACTTTCGTCTTATTCGTCCTTTTTCGTCCTTTTTGTCCGTTTTGGTTCTTTTCGTCCTTTTTCGTCCTTATTTGTCCTTTTTCGTCCTTATCATCCTTTTTCGTTCTTATTATCCTTTTTCGTCCCTTTTCGTCCTTTTTCGTCCTTCATCGTAATTTTTCGTCCTTTTTCGTCCTTATCCGTCCTTTTCGTTCTTTCTCCTCCTTTTTCGTCCCTTTTCGTCCTTTTTCGTCCTTTATCATAGTTTTTCGCCCTCTTTCGTCCTTTTTTGTCCTTTTTTGTCCTTTTTCGTCCTTTTTCGTCTTACTCGTCCCTTTTCGTCCTTATTATCCTTTTTCGTCTTTCTTCTTCAGTTTTCTTCCTTCTTCGTCCTTATTATCCTTATTCCCCCTTTTTTTCCGCCAATTTTGTCCTTTTTCGTCGTTTTTTGTCCTTATTACCCTTTTTTGTCCTTATTATCCTTTTTCGTCCTTTGTCGTCATTTTTCGTCCTTATTATAATTTTTCTTCCTTTTTCGTCCTTATCATCCCTTTTCGTCCTTATTATTCTTTTTCGTCCTTGTTGTTTGTTTTTCGTCTTTTTTCGTCCTTATTTGTCCTTTTTCCTCCTTTTTCGTTCCGTTTCGTTTTTTTTCGTCGTTCTTTGTAATTTTTCGTCGTTTTCATCCTTGTTCGTGCTTTTTCGTCCTTCTCATCCTTTTTCGTCCTTATTATCCTTTTTCGTTCTTTTTCGTCCGTATTCGTCCTAATTATCCTTTTTCGTCCTTCCTCGTCATTTTTCATCCTTCTTCATCCTTATCCGTCCTTTTTCGTCCTTTTTCGTCCTTTTCGTCTTTTTTCGTCCTTCTCGTCCTTTTTCGTTCTTATTATCCTTTTTCGTCCTTTTTGTCCTTTTTCGTCCTTTTTCGTCCTTTGTCGTCCTTATTCGTCCTTATTCGTTTTTTTCGTCCTTACTACGCTTTTTTCGTCCTTATCATCCTTTTTCGTCCTTTTCCATTATTTTTCGTCCTTTTTCGCGAATTCGAAATAGCTCAAAAGCAAAATTAAAAATAGGAAAAATTTAAAACTTTAAAATTTAAAAATATCGGTAAATTGAAAAATCGAAAAATCGGGAAATTGAACAATCGAAAAATCGAGAAATTGAAAAATTGAAGAACCCAAAACCAAGAAGTTGAAATATTCGAAGATCGAGGAATCAAAACATCAAAAATTGGATAAATCCGAAATTAAAAAATCCAAGGATTGAAAAATCGAGAATTCGAAAAATAAAAAATAAAAAAAATCGAAAAATTAAAACATGGAACAAATTAAAGAATCACGTTATTAAAAATCAACCAATCGAAACATCTAAAAATCGAAAAATTGGATAATTAAAAAATCGAAAAATCGAAAGGTCCGAAAATTGAAAGACTGAAAAATCCCAAAATTGACAAATCGAAAAATCGAAAAATCCATAAATTGAAAGATCTCAATCTCAAATTTAAAACAACAACAAATTGTAAAATCTAAAACCAAGAAATCGAAAAATCAAAAGATTGAGAAAGCGTAAACATCAAAATATTGGAAAAATTTGAAATTAAAAAAAATAAAAAATTGAAAAATTCTTGAAATCGAGAAAGCGAAAAATCAAAGGATTGGGAAAGCGTAACATGAAACATTGGAAAAATTTGAAATTAAAAAAATTGAAAAATTGAAAAATTCTTGAAATCGAGGAACCGAAAAATCGAGAAGTTGAAAAATCGGAAAATTAAAGAATCCAAATTTTAAAAAATCCCAAACTTTAAATTTCGAAAAACTGATAAATCGAAAAATTGAAAAATCGCAAAATCGAAAGGTTGAAAAATCTAAAACCAGGAAATCGAAAAATCAAAAGACTAGGGAAATCGTAACATCAAAAGATTGAAAAATCTGAAATTAAACAAATCGAAAAATTAAAAAATCGATAAATTGGATAACTAAAATAAAGAAATCGTAAAATTAAAATATTAAAAAATTGAAGAAGCAAACAATTGAAAGATCAAAAAATAAATCGAAAAATTGAAAAATTAAGAAATCGAAAAATTGAAACATTAAGATTTTTTCACATTCTTAATAGGCAATATGTCTGTCTAAGGTTACTTTAAATTAATAAAAGACACAAGGAAGCCTCAAGATTCTCTCGCCTTCTTAAAAAGAACTTAGTGTCCTTCCTTCAATTCCTTCTGAACTTTTAAAATAAGGCAACAGGAGTCTCCAAAATACTTTCACATTCTTAAACGACACAAGGGTCACCTAAGATTCTTTCGTATTTTTTTTAAATAAAAAGACACTAGGAGCCCCTAAGTTTCTTACGAAAAAACACAATGGGCACCTAAGATTCTTTAAAATTTTATCCTTGTTTTTTTGTTTAGCCTAGACTGACAAAACGTATCAACTTTTTATATTTATGTGGTCAGACAGTTACCGGTGTCAGTTTTTGTCATTATTACACCCATTACAACAAATTAAGATTCACAAATGTGTCGCACGTTACATAACATTAACCAGTTCCTTCGTACACTAATAAACAAAGAGAATAAGACGACCCGTCTCAGCTATGTGTAATTTTGTATTCCAGGCCTCTTCGCCTACTCTCACATGGACTTTGAAGCCGACCGAGACCCAGGCCCTACCGGCGACCCATCCTTAGCCGACATGACCCGCTCAGCCCTCTCCATTCTCCTGAAGAATCCCAAAGGATTCTTCCTGTTTGTGGAAGGTGAGTCTCCTCATTTGCATGGTGCTATTTCAAAGCTAAATTGGAATACCTCTCGACGTGAAACTTTCAAACAGCTCGACGCCAATCTAAATACCCGAACTGCTATTTATGGTCGGCGAACCGACCACCCATTTAAATCATCAAAAATAAATTCACTCGCATACCGCTCCAGTTTTCGTCGCGTTACATCTAAATAAGTGCTCCGTTTACAAAAGGAGGTTTGTGCTTTTGTCTCCTGCAATTTAAATACCTGCCTCTTAAATGCTGCCATACAAGAACGCCGGCCCGCGAATTCCTCAAGCGCCTAGGATGGCTTGATGCCTAGGGTTCGAACGGAAGAAACACGACTCGACGCGTGTAAATTTTCACAATTTTTTCCTCCTAGTTTTCTTTCTCGTCGCAAACGAGAGCCCTCGTAATCACGGCGCACTAAATTTGTAATATATCTGCACAATCGAAAATTGAATCGTCTCGAAAAGGGAAACGATGAGAAGAAAACGAGAAATGGAGACACACCGGACAATAGAAACAAATTGGATCTTTGACGTTAAGTGAAGACATTTTCACAAAGCTGCATTAAAAGTCTATTGTATTGGCAGCAAGGGCGGTAATTCTTTGACTTTAATTTGAGCGCAGGCAGGGTGGGAACTGGTCGATAAGATATTTGAATTAAACACAGCATCTTTTCAATTTGAGTAAACGCGTTTTCTGCTCGTGCGTGCCGAAGTGCAGCGAATTTGTTCGGTGGAGTGTAGTCAATGGTAATTAAATTGCGCTTGTTGCACTGAAAGAGACGTCTTAGAAATGCAATGCAATATTATGCATAATTTAAAAGTGTTTAGGGGTATCGCACAAATTGAATCGTCATAAAATTCGTCCAAAAAATCTCTTGTAGCTCCAGTTGTATGAGTAGTGGTACCATCCTGTTGAAATTAACCATCAGTCATCATTACGCTCGGAATTACATGCAGCAAAAAACTTGTAAATATTGCGCATATGTACATCTTACACAACTTATTACTTAGATAATACTTATTTGGACTTAGACTACACAAATACAAAATAAAAACTAACTATGATTTTCTTTAGATATTTTAATACTTGTATTTAATATTTTGAGAAACATATGTTTTTTTTCCTTATAAATATATTTTTCTCCGTTATTTGAGATGAAAGAGAGATTCGTGATCCTGAGAAAATTTCTGAAAAGAATGATAATATTGTGAGCTTATTTCGTCTAGTTTAAATTTTGATAAAAATGGTGGAGGCACCGGGATAAAAATTTTCTTTAAAATTATTTATTGCAAAAATTTGTAGCAACTCCTTTCAGAAATCGTGTGTATTAAAAGAAATTACGGTTTTCTTTAGATGTTTTAATATCTAAATTAAATAACGGGACAAATGTAGACTTGAAAGAAAATAAATGACCGGTTTTGAGAAAAATGTGTTTTTTTTTTTCTTATAAACATATTTTTCTCCATTATTTGAAAATACATTTCGAAAATAAGGACAAATTCGTGATCCTGACAAAATTTCTGAAAAGAATGATAAGACTGTGAGCTCATCTCGTGAAGTTTAAATTTTGATAAAAATTATGGAGGCGCCGGTATAAAAATTTATTTTAAAATTATTTATTACAAAAATCTGTAGCAACTCTTTCAGAAATAGTATATATTAAAAGAAATTACCATTTTCTTTAGACGTTTTGATATCTAAATTAAATAGCGGGACAAATGTAGACTTGAAGGAAAATAAATGACCGGTTTTGAGAAAAATGTGGTATCTTTTTCCTTATGAACATATTTTTCTCCGTTAATTGAAAAGACATTTCGAAAGTAAGCTCAAATTCGTGATCCTGAGAATATTTCTGAAAATAATGATAAGATTGTGAGCTCATTTCGTCAAGTTTAAAGGTTGATAAAAATGGTGGAGGCGCCGGGATAAAAATTTACCTTAAAATTATTTATTACAAAAATTTGTAGTAACTCCTTTCAGAAATAGTGTATATTAAAAGAAATTATGATTTTCTTTAAATGTTTTGATATCTAAATTAAATAGCGGGACAATTGTAGACTAGAAGCCAAATAAATGACCAGTTTTGAGAAAAATGTGGTATTTTTTCCTTATAAACATATTTTTCAACATTATTTGAAAATACATTTCGAAAATAAGGACAAATTAGTGATCCTGAGAAAATTTCTGAAAAGAATGATAAGATTGTGGGCTCATTTCGTCAAGTTTAAATTTTGATAAAAATGGTGGATTCGCCGGGATAAAAATTTACTTTAAAATTATCTATTACAAAAATTTATAGGAACTACTTTCAGAAATAGTGTGTATTAAAAGAAATTACGATTTTCTTTAGATGTTTTGATATCTAAATTAAAGAGCGGGACAAATATAGACTTGAAGGGAAATAAAAGACCGGTTTTGAGAAAAATGTGGTGTTTTTTTCTTTATAAACATATTTTTCTCGATTGATTGAAAAGACATTTCGAAAATAAGGACAAATTCGTGATCCTAAGAAAATTTCTGAAAAGAATGATAACATTGTGAGCTCATTTCGTCAAGTTTAAATTTTGAAAAAATGGTGGAGGCGCCGGGATAAAAATTTATTTTAAAATTATTTATTATAAAAATTTGTAGGAACTCCTTTCAGAAGTAGTGTATATTAAAAGAAATTACGATTTTTTTTAGATGTTTTGATATCCAAATTAAATAGCGGGACAAATATAGACTTGAAGGAAAATAAATGACCGGTTTTGAGAAAAATGTGTTTTTTTTTTCTTTATGAACATATTTTTGTCGATTGATTGAAAAGACATTTCGAAAATAAGGACAAATTCTTGATCCTGAGAAAATTTCTGAAAAGAATGATAACATTGTGAACTGTTTTCGTCAAGTTTAAATTTCGATAAAAATGGTGGAGGCGCCGGGATAAAAATTTACTTTAAAATTATTTTTTACAAAAATCTGTAGAAACTCCTTTCAGAAATAGTTTACATTAAAAGAAATTACGATTTTCTTTAGATGTTTTGATATCTAAATTAAATAATGGGCAAATATAGACTTGAAGGAAAACAAATGACCGGTTTTGAGAAAAATGTGGTATTTTTTTCTTTATATTTTTCTCGATTATTTGAAAAAACATTTCGTAAATAAGGACAAATTCGTGATCCTGACAAAATTTCTGAAAAGAATGATAACATTGTGAGCTTATTTCGTCAAGTTTAAATTTTGAAAAAATGGTAAAGGCGCCGGAATAAAAATTTACTTTAAAATTATTTATGAGGAACTCCTTTCAGAAATAGTTTATATTAAAAGAAATTACGATTTTCTTTAGATGTTTTGATATCTAAATTAAATAACGGGACAAATATAGCCTTAAAGGAACATAAATGACTTGTTTTAAGAAAAATGTGGTATTTTTTTCGTTATAAACATATTTTTCCCGATTATTTGAAAAGACATTTCAAAAATAAGGACAAATTCGTTATCCTGAGAAAATTTCTGAAAAGAATGATAAGATTGTGAGCTCTTTTCTTCAAGTTTAAATTTTGAAAAAATGGTGAAGGCGTCAGGATAAAAATTTACTTTAAAATTATTTATTACAAAAATTTGTAGGAACGCCTTTCAGACATAGTGTATAATAAAAGAAATTACGATTTTCTTTAGATGTTTTGATATCTAAATTAAAGAGCGGGACAAATGTAGACTTGAAGGAAATAAATGACCGGTTTTGAGAAAAATGTGGTGTTTTTTTCCTTATAAACATATTTTTCTCCGTTATTTGAAAATACATTACAAAAACAAGGACAAATTCGTGATCCTGAGAAAATTTCTGAAAAGAATTATAATAATGTGACCTCATTTCGTCAAGTTTAAATTTTGATAAAAATGGTGGTGGCGCCGGTATAAAAATTTACTTCAAAATTATTTATTACAAAAATTTGTAGGAACTCCTCTCAGAAGAAGTGTATATTAAAAGAAATTACGATTTTTTTTAGATGTTTTGATATACAAATTAATTAAATAGCGGGACAAATATAGACTTGAAGGAAAATAAATGACCGGTTTTGAGAAAAATGTGGTATTTTTTTCTTTATAAACATATTTTTCTCGATTGATTGAAAAGACATTTTGAAAATAAGGACAAATTCTTGATCCTGAGAAAATTTCTTAAAAGAATAACATTGTGAAGTCTTTTCGTCAAGTTTAAATTTCGATAAAAATGGTGGAGGCGCCGGGATAAAAGTTTACTTTAAAATTATTTATGAGGAACTCCTTTCAGAAATAGTTTATATTAAAAGAAATTACGATTTTCTTTAGATGTTTTGATATCTAAATTAAATAACGGGACAAATATAGTCTTGAAGGAACATAAATGACTTGTTTTAAGAAAAATGTGGTATTTTTTTCGTTATAAACATATTTTTCTCGATTATTTGAAAAGACATTTCAAAAATAAGGACAAATTCGTTATCCTGAGAAAATTTCTGAAAAGAATGATAAGATTGCGAGCTCTTTTCTTCAAGTTTAAATTTTGAAAAAATGGTGGAGGCGCCGGGATAAAAATTTACTTTAAAATTATTTATTACAAAAATTTGTAGGAACGCCTTTCAGAGATAGTGTATAATAAAAGAAATTACCATTTTCTTTAGACGTTTTGATATCTAAATTAAATAGCGGGACAAATGTAAACTTGAAGAAAAATATTTAGATGACTGGTTTTGAGAAAAATGCGGTATTTATTTCCTTATAAACATATTTTTCTCCGTTATTTGAAAATACATTTCGAAAATAAGGACAAATTTGTGATCCTGAGAAAATTTCTGAAAAGAATGATAAGATTGTGGGCTTATTTCGTCAAGTTAAAGTTTTTGATATAAAATGGTGGAGGCGCTGGGATAAAAATTTTCTTCAAAATTATTTATTACAAAAATCTGGACTATTTTTTATTTTTTGGTTTTTCTGTTTTTCGTTTTTTAAATTTAACTTTT